ATGCCTTGGCCTTTAAAGGGGCAAGGGCTGCGATCCCCTGGTGCTGTGCCAGGGTCGTCTGTCCCCCTCCAGAGACAGGGAACTCTAGGCAGGCCGCATGCCCCAGCGCCTTGTGCCCCGTGGCCCAATACACAGTAGGTGTGCAGCTGACTCCCCAAGGTAGGGGGCTCTGATCCTGCCACACCCAGGAGGGAGTCGGATGTCACGTCTGTGGGTTGCCTGGAGTCAAGGTGCCCGGGAGCACCTGGACTGCATGGCTTTTGGGCTCCCCTGGTTAAAACCAGTGAGCAAAGGCAGGTGGCTATGTGTAGGCCCAGAGCTGGGCCATCCAAGTCCGACTTTGCCAAAGCCTCACAGTAGACAGGGGCAGGCCTTATTAGTTCTGCTTTGCAGATGGGAAAGTGAGTCTGGGAACCTGGAAGGGAATGGCCAGAGCTGCCCAGGTGACCACAGGTGCCTGGAGGCAAGCCAGGTGTGCTGCCCGGGGTCTGCATACCTGCTCCTGAGGGGCCTGAGCCCTCCCTGCCCCAGGGAGCCACGTCCTCACACCTGCCCCTTTGGCCTGCACCCCAGGGGACCGGCTGAACGAACGCGTGGACTACCACCGGCTGGCAGCCCTGCACCACCGGCTGGGCCATGGCAAGCTGGCGGAGCACTTCTACCTCAAGGCCCTGTAGCTCTGCAACTTGCCCCTGGAGTTTGATGAGGCGACCCTCTACTACGTGAAGGTGTACCTGGTGCTCGGTGACATCATCTTCTACGACCTGAAGGTGGGTAGGAGGGGCAGGGCTGAAGGTGGGTGGGGAGGAGCAGGGCTCGGGGTGTTCCTGGCCCCCTTGGAGTGAGATCTCCACCCAGAACCCAGAGGCCTGGGTTCCAGCCTTCCTTAGGAATGGCCCAGTGGCCTCCCTGAAGCTCTGCACCCAGCTGGAGGAGCCGGCAAGCTTAGCAGATACAACCCAGCTCCCAAGATGGCCAGGCCCCACCCTCAGGAACTCAGTCTTAGCCAGGGAGGCTGACACATGAGTGTGCAATGGTGGCCTCCGAGTAAAGAAGGGGGATTGTATTCAGGGGGGCCCTCCTGGAGGAGGTGACACCAAAGCTGAGTCTTGACAGTCAAGTGTCAAGTTGCATTTAACAAAGAAAACAGGGTTGGGAGAAGGACATTTTGGAGGACGGCATCATCCTCACATTGAATCCACGTTGCAAGATCCAACCCAAATCCTGGCGCCTCCTCTAGGAAGCCTGCCCAGGGTGCCAGCCTGCACTGAGCGACTCCTTCTTGGAGTCCCGAGACACCTTGAATCTTCACACCACCCAGGAAGGGTGGGGTGGGACCAGTGTCTTACCATTGGGTTCACAGACAGGGAAACCCCAGCTTAGGGCAGGTGCAGTGGGGCGGGGCCCCTGCCAGCCAGGCTGAGGCCTTGCTGGGTCGGGTCTGTCTCGAGGGGAGGTGCTGTGCTCCCTCTGCCCCCAGCCCTGCAGGGATGGAGAGCTGGGACTGGCAGATTCAGACCTGGGGTGTCTCCACCCCTCTGCCCAGCAGGCACCGCCCC